GTAAGAATATCTTGTAAAACGCCGTGTGCAGTTTTATCAATCCTTTTAATTATACCAGAAAACAGTTCTTAACTGATGAGGTAGGCTTTTAAAAGAAATTCACCACACGAATGAATGAAACAAGTTTTTTATATGCAAAATCTATCGGGGTTTACGATATGCAGGGGATTCTATTCTATGGTAGACAAAAGCTGCGTCTCATCCATTTAAAACCGCGCCTGCATTCCCAATATGCCGATTATTCTTCGAGCAAGGCATCACACCAGTACACCTGTTTCGAAATCAATAACTCCATAGAAATTATTTGCATATATCCATATACATGACATGAACAGCAGATATTTTATTTAAAATGTGAGATAAAATATTTTTATTCTAAATATGCGTGCTTCTTCGTTTCACGTTAAATAACTCGCTATTAATAAAAGTTGCACATACATAAAAAAAACACAACATCTGAATCGAAGATGTTTTATTCCTTTTGAACTTTCTTTTATGATAGACGTATACACAAATAGATATTATTTAAATATTTGAGGATACGGAATTATGAAATTTTAAACTATTATAATTAGACACTTGATACCAAATTCATTCAATTCTGTGAACCTTAAAATATAGATGAAGCTTAATTAAAATCGAAATTCGTAAGAATAATTTAAAAGTCGAATTCGGTGCGCAAACGCGCGTGACTCATGCTTCAACCCCACTCAGTAGCTCCCTTCTCCCTTACTCGCTGACTCAGACGGCGTCATGGTATCGCCGGCAACTAGAGCTTGAAACCCGGAACGTGGTTGCTAGTTGCTAGTAACGCGTGTGCGCTCATACCGTTCGTATCGTATGTTCGTTACTGTGTCGTATCTCGCTTTTCTTCAGTCGCACATTTCTTCGCGCTGTTTCATTGAAAAGTAACAGTAATGACACGACAGTGATTGGTATAGCATATAAAATTAAACCACAAGAAATGCACAATACCAATTGCGTCCTTGTGTTCACCAAAGAAGTCTGTTCTGTTCAGTGTCATTGACTTGGGTTTCTTCCGCCAACACAAAAGTGTGAATACTTGTGTCATTGAGAAGTGTTAATAGTAGTTTTGTATACGGAACTGTGTAATTTACGTTTGTCTTTTACCTAAAAAATTATAAATCACATTCGTCGAACAATGTGAATGAAAAATTGATCGAAACACTATCAGCGTTAGTGTCATTATTTGCAAAATACCGATAGAATCTGTACATAGATTTGTTTAGTCCACTGAGAGCAGATATATAAAAATTAAACTTGACCAATGTTGGTTCATATTACAAGAAGACGAGCCACATGTAGGTTTGAGTTACAGGAAGAAGAGTCGTATTTTGTGGTTGTAAAAATCACGCGAATCGTTGAATCTGTTCTTATTATCTTTGCCATCTCATCGATTTTCGAATACAGTTATTTACGACTATTTCAGTTTTATTAATGAACCCAGTAATGTTATTTATTATACGTTGATGATCGCAAAATACAATGTGAGTCGTGTTTGCAAAATGAAATGTACTCCATAGTAGGTATTTATAAGCACTCTCGCCTTTCACTTTTATGTATATTAAATATACATAATGCATATATAACATAGAGTGCACGATTTTTATGATACGTGAAAAAGTATTAAATTACAGTGTTATTCTCCTTTTTACTAATTACAATGTTATTTAATAACATCCGTAATAATTATATTATTTAAGTTATGCATGAGCCTTAGAATAAGTAGTATTTCGTTTCCTATAACATGAATGTGTATTCGAAGAAATATGAGTATAAGTATCGTAGAAAATGTACGTAATCTTAACAGTTAGGAGTTGCGTAATATTTATTGGACGACGGTTACTTGATAGTAAAAAATGTGAAACAATTTTCCCTTTCACCTGTATCAATAACTATCTGCCATTACGTTTACACGTGTGAAATAAAAATTTCTCTTAGTTTGCATCGTACATTAAATTCACTCAAACCGCTAGTACTGATTATTACTTGCTGTGTTTACAACTTATAATTATTTACTTGCGCTTTTCCTTGTGTAAGTTGCATGTGGAGAATTGCCACCGTTCAGAAATCTTTAACAATCATCCGAGTATTTTGTTTTGTTCAATTAGAGAATAGTAGCTTATAAATTTTTGAACGGTGGCCAACATCGAGCATCGGCCCTTCGTTTTCGTTCGGTAATTCGTATTCATAGATTCGTAGTAAAGTAAAATGTTAGGCTTTACTTTGAACGATCTATTATCTGTTATGAGTGATTTTGCCTTGATATCATTTTCTGTGATATTGTAAGCGTAGAATTACTTTTGTAATGACACTGAGTAACACTAAGGATATTCAAAGTAATAAATTACTTACTTAATTTACTTGCACAAATCTAACGTTGGATTTTACGATTTATATTATTTGTGGTAAATAACTTCATATCGTATCATTTTGGAGAATTATGCAATTGTCTTGCATTGTTTAGGTAGTACGTCTTTAAGAACAATTTATGTTGCATTTGTTTATGCTATTATATGTTAATGCAAACAAGAAGTAGCAGATTATGTGACAATCTTTACATGGAACACAGTAAACAAGAGGGAAGTTCGTGAAGGGAATAATTATCTTAAATGAAAAAATGAGCGCTGGAAGAGATAAGTTTTTATTAACTGTAATGATAGTTCCATCATACGGATCTCTTAATATAATCATAAGAAATGAGCGTTCATTACGTAAAAGTTCTCCGCTTGTCATTCTCGCTACTTGTCTGCATTTTACTTCCAATTTGTATTCGTCTTTCGA